GTGGCGTCACAGTAACGGTTTTGGAATTGTGGATCCAATCAACTGATGTCCACCGACTCCTAACGTTTTTTCTCCCACTCTTGGAGTGAGTGTTTCAGCCAGGTGATGGCCACTTTATGAACAGAGAGACAGGAAAAGTGAGTATCATTATCAATATTAGATGGGTTTTTTTTAACCAGTAAATTAGGTATTCATGGGGGTCATTGTTGAAATATTTCAAATTTGACTAATTCTTGGTAATTGGGTTTTTAATCTCTGAACTTGGTTAAATAAATCGGTCTATGTTGCAGACTCATATTATCAACACACTTTGCCAATTAAAAACTCCACCAGCCACACATTGCACTGCATCACTAATCAGGCAGTCCCTTCTCGAATATCTTTTATGCCCCCTAAATTCCACTTCCAGTTCAGGGGATAAAGGCTATTTGGTGATTCCACTTGCCTGATCTCAGAAGTTCGAGGGGTCGGGGTGGGGGGGGGGCGAGTGAAGCAGACATCATGCCACGCCCCGGTTCAACACTTCAAGGATTCAGGGACTCCCTACAGCCCAGGACGGGGTGGGGCTGCGGGATCCCCCTACCGGCCCTCGTCCCGCCTGGTGCGCAGGCGCGGAGTCCTTCGCAAACCACAGCTCGTGATCGCCACCCACTGGTGTCTGTGAGCAGGTTCTCCGAGGCCGAGCAGGCTTAGTCCCTGCCCACTGACTGTGCCACGGCGCCGCCCCCTTCAGAAAAAAAACGAGGACCAGGCTTCATGAGAGAGGAGAGCGGTCCTAGAAACTCCCAAAGCCCACCTGGAGCTGGAGCCTGGGATTGTGCGCATGGCATTTCCATCCGGCAAACAGCCAAGTATCACTAACGTCGGCATCCGCCAGGGGAGGCAGGGCGAGACCCTACGCTCGGGTCTGGGAGCAGGTACAGTCCCCGGAACATTTTATTTTAGCATTTTTTCATTGGGACGTTTGCCCTTTTCGTACCAATTTCAGAGAGTTTTAAAATATTATGGAGAGTAACCTTTTATATGTCAGAGACATTGGAAGCATTTTTTCCTGGTCTATCCCACCTTTTAACTTTGTTCATGGAATTTATTTTCCAGAAAAACCTTTAACTTTTATGTAGTCAAATAGGTGCATTTCTTTGAAAACTCCTGGGTTTTCTATCTTGGTTTAAAAGGTTTCCTGAAGCACTCTAAAGTTATTTTAAAAATAAATTCTCTTCCATTTCTATTCCAGACTTTGTGGGGTGTTTGTTTGTTTGTTTGTTTTTAATATTTAAAAGCTTTAATCTGCCGACAGTTTATTTTTGGGCTTCGCAGTGAGTAGAATTTAACCTTATTTCCTTCTAGGCAAAGAGCCAGTTGTACCAGGTCATTTGTCAAATAAACACTTTTCCCATTAAATTTAAATAACATCTGTTTTCCATTAAATTTCTTTAGATGTTCTGATTCACTTCTACACTCACTAATCTATTCCACTTACTTATTGATTACAGAGCTTTTATAATGTCTCATTTACTCTTCTGTTGAACTTTTCAGACAAAACCCCAGTTTTCTCAATCCCATTTAGACGCTGGAACTGTATTAAATTTATATAACTTGGGAAAGTGAACCACTTAGTAAGATCTGGCTATCCAAGAACACCGCCTCACCCCATTTGGTCATCTACAATTTCACACTCATGAAGGAATTTTGTTGGTGACTGTTTTTCCACTTTTCTGCATTTCCCAAATATTTCACAATAACTCACTTTTGAATTGCTTTTGTAATTTCTAAGAAGCAATTTGTTTAAGACACAAACCACCAGGGGGAGGGTAGAGCTCAGTGGTAGGGCACGTGCTTAGCATGCACACGTCCTGGACTCAATCCCCAGTACCTGCACTAAAAAATTATAATAAATTTAAAAACCCACCCAAACTGTCATTACTTCATACACTCACTCTAAGGTGGCCCACCTTGCCCAAAACAACCCTTCGTCTTGAGGTCCCTTCTTTGTTTCTCTACCCTTCCTTCCTCATCCCAGAGCAACAGGATAAAAAATGGCCATGCAGACATCTCATACTAGGTCCCATGAAATCCAAACCAAACCAAAAGGATCACACAAAGAAGCCACTCCCGGGTCCCTGGAGGGTCCAGGCAGAGGTCGGGTCCAGCCCTGTCCAGGTGTACTCACCGAAACAATCTGACTCCGTATTTCCTGCAGGTGATTTCGAAGCACCTTCATGTCCTTCGACCCAGAAGCCCCAGCATCCAGAACAAACAGCTTGTTTGAAATGTGAAGATCGTTCCCAAACCTAAGGGAAGATCAGTACCCTCATCAGAGTAACGCAGTCTTACCAGGTGTTCTCACAGGAGCCAGGCTCCTGCTGGGCCAAAAGTCTGGTCCCGCGTGGCAAGGAAGCTCTGATGCCCCACCTCCCACCTGCTGTTTGTTGGACTCTATAATGTCGCCCAGGTGTGGAGGCCTGGGGCCCCTGCCTGCTTTAGTTGTGCAGACAGACGCCCTGGACTCCACAAAAAGCTGAGAACCCAGCGAGGACAGGCTTCAGGTCCCCCGACGATGCAGGAAAGGTGAGGCCTCATGCACTCACTTTACATGTCAGGAGAAGAGACGTTCATTCAAGTTGATGGAGTAACAACACAGGGATGGGTATGAAAGTAACATCTTAGATGTAAAGCATTGGCAGAAGCTTTGCTTTTCCTACCAGGAAGATAACAGATGAGTGTCTTCAGCTGACAAACCAAGAATTCAAATTACTAGCATATTAAACGGAGCTGCGAATTCAAACTTCCACTAAGTAAAAATATGTACTTTTTACATTGTGATTCTGTACACATTCATATTTATAAGCGATCAAAAGTTTTCCAAAAAATACTTGATAAACAACAAGTTCATACTGTACAGCACAGGGAACTGTATTCAATATCTTGTAGTAACTTATGGTTAAAAAGAACATGAAAATGAATATATGTATATTCATGTATGACTGAAGTATTGTGCTGTACGCCAGAAATTGACACAACATTGTAAACTGACTACACTTCAATAAAATATATTAAAACGTCCTTCCTCTGGGTCACGTGACTTGCTGTGTTATCCCGGAAGGCGCAGCGGCCGGCTTACCTGTTCCTGATCTCTTTTAGCAACGAGGTGTCTTTGTCGTATCCGAACTCGCCTCCAGCTGGACGGGGGACGTTCATGATGTCGGCGTGGGTGGCCACCAGGACAACTCGCAGCGGGTTCTTTAGCTTGCCGCCAAAGGCTGAGGGCAGAGAGCCAACCGTTTCAGAGGCGGGTCCTCCCTCCTGGCTGCCTCTCCTCCCCCGGCGAGGTGGGATGCTCTGCCTCAGGCCCCTGCCTGGCGCTGGGAGTGACCTCTGGAAGGCCTAAGAGTGGCCAAACCTGGAACCAGCCTATTTCCTGAGTCAGCAGGAAGGTTGCTCAGAAGTGGACCAGACGCCACCACAGGGCACGAGGCAGCTTCTCAGATCTTCCTCCAAATAGGCCTTGTTTGCTCAGTGAAAGGAGATCTAACCTCTGACTCGGGGCAGGGGACGGGGACGTCCTTTACAAGACCAGAGCAGGCCCACTGAATGCAGCACAGCACAGAGATGGCTCGGAAGGGGAACTCCTACAGTTCTCACAGGCAGACGGCCTCTCAGTAATGGCAGTGTTTAAAATGAAAACATGAAAAAGAACAAGAAAGAAGAGGCAAAGTGGAGGTAACCTGAGGGGAATTAGCCCAATTTGTTTTATGATTACATGCTTTTCAAAAAAAAAAATTGAACTGCTGAGTTTCGTATTTCACCAGGGAAGGCTGCTTCTTTTTTTGTGTGTGAAAAGAACAAAATCAGTTTGTCCACGCTGTGTTTTCCTCTAGGAATAAAGCGAAGGTAATGCGTTCATTCCGTCAATATGGTTCCTTTTCTCTGATTTTGGATGGAACTACAGAAAGAAGGCCCATTCTGTTTATTAATTGTGCACCATTTGGTGAAGGCACAGTAGCTGTCAGAGGAGGCACGCCGCTGTGCACTGAACAAAAATGACCACAGCTCTAAAATGTAAAAATAAAGTGAGAAATGGCTCTCAAGGAAGTACTCAGAATTGAGTCTCTGTGGCAGAAATCGTGAAGCAACTCCCTGCAGAACAAAACAAACAGCTGAGCCTTAGGAAATTCCAGAGTGGAGATCTTCCGGTTGGAAGGAGGAATCAGGGTGGCCTCAGCCGTCAGCCAGAAGCTGCAGGACCCTGGCACGACCTGGGGCACCAGCCGGCAGGAAGGACACCCCCTCCCGCAGGGGCATCTCGGGTGAGTGAACGCATCTTACCTATGGGTTCCTCAACCGGGACAAGAGACTTCAGGAAACTGAGCCAGAAAATCACTTGATTCAGCTGGATCTCGTAGGGCTCTTCTAGACTGAAAACAATGACATGGATGGACGTGGGATCACTGGCGGCAAAATAGTCGTAACAGCAGAAATACACAGGATTTCCAGAGAACTCCCACACGCTGAAGTCGCCAACTCCTGCAGAGAAAAAGAAAGACGGCTGTCGTGCAGCACCACCACCAAATTTCTATCACAACGCCTCTCAGCCCTTTCGGGATTACCAGTGGGGCCAGTGACACCCACAGCATTCGTCTGCTTGCTCAGGCATCTTCTTAAGTACAGACCTCCATATGGGATACTCC